GTCTACGAAATTCGTAGATGTATTGTAAACCCCCCTTCGCAGCCCTTTCTTATCGTCTGTAACAGCTTCCTATTCGATTCGTTAACGAATAAGAAAATTAACCGTCATTTCCTGCATCTGTAGCCATTCCAAGAGCTATTTGGCTGATATTTTCGTCTAAGTAAACGTTCGTAAATCGTTGAAAAAGAGCCTTAAAATCGAGCAAAAAAGCCAGTTGAACACGCGACTCGAAAATTGTCATGGCGAGCGAGGCATTATGATGGAAACAACAAGAATTCGTTTGAAAGTGGAAGCATTAATTAGACGAGACAAGTGTTTGAGTCGATGGTTTGAGTCTTTTGGGATCCCCGCAACCCGTTGGGAACGGACATATTTTGGTTCTGAGAAAAGGCACTTTCAGCAGTAAAAAGGGCACTGTCGAAAATTAGGAGGGGGGGGGGGCTCCGCCTCTGATCTGTACCAGAGAGGAAATACAAATTATTCTGCACACTATCTTGAATGGATGGCCAAACTTACGATCTTACTTCCAAGTTAACGTTCTATAATGCTCAAGATAGCCAACGAATCACATCTAGAGGGGTCTTCTTTTAGCCAGGTCCTGAATGTACAGACAACCAAAACAAAATGCAGAACCTCTCAACCCAACAGTTACATGTACTCCATGTCTACCTTACCGTGAAGTTTTAAGTGATCTATTCGAACTTGAAGGCAAGAAAATCTGATCGTCGTAGACTACTACTCCAGATTTCCAGATGTCATCGTATTACGACCAACAACATCACCAGTTATGGAATCCATCTTCTCCTGTCATGGTAAATCGCAGATTTTCAGATCTGGTAATGGTCCCCAATATTCTTCAGAGGAAGGTATCGAACACAAAACTTCCATTCCCCACTTTCAAAGCAGGATCGTCACTTAACCCAACTATTATTGTGAAGCATTCTGAACATCTGAGACACGCTTCCTGCGGAGAAGAATCTCAGACACAGTCAATAGCCATGATATCCATATCACGTGATCTACATATCACAGGTCATGACATTGACGTCAATGGGTCATGAGGTCAACAACACGTTGCATTGTAAACAATAGGTTTATCTTCAGCATTGTTTCTTTTGCACCCATAAAGACTATAATTCGTCCAGTCCCAACATGTTCTCTCTTCTTCCAATGATTTTTCACAAAAATAACATCTACAACTCATAGAATTGGCGTTGTCTAAAATGACAGCGTCTGCGAATGGTTGTTCATAGAGGCTGCCATCTTGGCACTATTTTGTGCGTCGGTCGTGTCTATTTCAGATATACACAATCAATTCTGTTGATGTTTTTAGCGTTGGGATTGACTAATAGTTAATTTATTTCAGTTCCAAAACAAATATTTTAAACTTTAACGCAAATTTAGAAAATAGCCAAATTCTGGCTGGGATTACTGAGCAAAATGGCCATTCAGTGTATACGTGCGAAAAAAAAAGCTAGCCACCAATTAATTTTCGTACGTTAGTTACGTACGATTGGGAAGGAAACCCAGAAACATGCTGATAGCAACCAAACCAGCCTTAAACCCTATATTAATCAACGAAAGGGAATTACATAAAACATTAAGAATGGAAAAGATAGACAGAAAACCTATTATGACTGAAACAACGGAACCAATTCGAATGGAACCAACAGAAGACAAATCCTGGAAACCAGCAAAGTAGTAAAACATGATGAGAATCCACGATCATATATTGTGGAATCTGGTGACAGACGTAATCGTAAACATTTGCGAAAATTTATAACCAAAGCAAACTTGAAATATGATTTGGATGATGAATTACTAGTGTCAGATTGGGAGTCAGAGGATTAACAAACCAATGGTGAAACCCCTAACTTCCAACCTAGCGAAAGTTCACCAAACACCAACGATAACATTTCGTGAAAGTCAAATGTGTCAAATATCTAATGCGTTGAAAATCTCGAAACAAACTATGATAAAGAACCAGACATTCAACCAAATCAGAGTCGGTTAGGAAGTACATGTACTCTCCTCTCTAATTGTGAGAATTATTGACCTATTAATAGCAGTTAGCTAGTCACAAATTTAGTTGTGTAAGTTGTCTTGTAATCTCGTTCGTCATGAACTGATGTTTATCTACATTCTCCCCATACGAGCATTTCCAAATTCATCCATTTTCATTCATTCATTATCTCAATCATTCCATTCTCTCATTTTTAATCTTCAGTTTATTGCTTCTTTTCTTTAATAAAGGGGGTATAACATTATTGCTAGGGACGCCCTCAGTAATTACATGTTATTGCATGTTCTGCGTGTACCATTGTCAAGCGTCTGGTAATAGACACGTGGTTAGCCATCTTTGTATGATTTACAATACCCCTTCCCCCCCCCCCCCCGGGGTCTGATCTAAATATTAAGAACACCTGCAGATTTCGCCAAGATGATATTGCAGTTACACCCCAGAGCTTTGATTCGGTGCATCGGGAAAACATCTTAAAATGAAACCCCCATCGTATTACACAGGCCGCGAATTTATGTTATGACAGCCCATATTTATTACCTGAAGTTACGTGCAGCAAGAACAAAGGCCACAGAAGAGTTAACGCAACATTTACGTTTCGGAGAATGGCGAAACTTTTGCTGCTTTACTCGATTTACTAATCGGTTGTAGACCCCCATTTTATAACAAATACTATAACTATAACAAATGAAATCGCGACACTTGGGGTGGGGACTTTATACTAATTGCGTTGATAATACTATAAAAATGAATTATAACTGACTGGCACTGCACCGTTTGATACTCCGAAAATTAATAAGGTCAATTCTTTTGTCGACCAAGCTACCTTTCATAAGATGTACGGATGGGTGGGTGTAGAGAACTATGTCTTTGTGTACCCTACGTAGGTCGCTACGTATTAAAGAAGACATTGAGTGAGCTTGATCACCCACTATTTGCCCTATCAATCTTTGGAATAGGAGAGGGGGGTTGGGTGGCCGAATGGTTAGCACGCTCGCGCTGTATCATAAGGCCTGTCATTGAGTCAACTGGCGTGGTTTCGAATCCCGGTTGTACGTGACAAGGAGTAGGGTCGCCTGTCCAACCTCGTGGGTTTTCTCCGGGTCCTCCGGTTTTCCTCCCACTGCTAAAGACCCCTACGCGGAAGCGAATTATTGAAATGAATTTAAACCATATGTTAGTCCCGAAATGACCTAGTTTGTGTCGAGTGGACGTTAAACCCCATTTTCTCTCTCTCTCTTTTGGAATAGGAGAACATTTCTCCATTTTACTTTTCAATGCAGCCCTTTCATATCCCTATTAGAGCACGCAACGTTCTTAAAAAATTTTATATACATTTCAATATAATGCTCTATAAAATTAATTACATTTGTTGTCCTAGCGAATGTAACCATGCCCGGTTTGGTGAAGAGTTCCGGGCTCATGCGATTAATGAAATAAAACCCTCATTCTTTCGTCGAAATTTTCTTAATGTACGATTTTTGTGGCCATGTGTTTTTTATCAGAACTAATAATTCGTATTTGTGTAAATGCTACGTAGAGCCGTATGAGAGTAGAAAGTAGCTAAGTCTCTAACTCAATACCATTCAAAGTCTTCGACACTGAAAATATGAATTATTTTTCAATTTAAATCAACATTGGTTGTGATCTTACCGGGAAGAGATGGGCGTCTGGTATCTAATATTTAAAACAAAATAAACATTTTACCATTGATACCATAACGCTTTTCAGCACCATTTGTAACACGAGGCTAGACACATGTCAAACGGTGGCCCCATTTTCCTAGAGTTTTACGTCCACTTCCACCTAAGCTGATATCGTATCGCTGGAGCATGTGCAATAAATACTATCGGTGTATACTGGAATAACCAGACGTTAGAGATTTCCATTCGATTGAGACTTCTGGGATATTTTAACGAACTTAATTGATTAGAAATTACAGTAAAGCCAGAAATATTGAATGTAAATCAGTTTATATACATTCATTTAATATTATTATATGACTTGCTACCCATTTGTGTCAATTTCTAGGTCAAGAATATAAGCGATTTAGCTCTTTTAAATTTTACTGTTTTTTAACGTGTTTCACGGTGTTATATTTTCGTTCTATTTTTATAAAAGTATAAAGCTTGCAATAAAGTTCATAATAGATTTTCTCTAAACTGTTGGATATTTTGACAACGATTTTAGAGCTAACACTGATGAGGACTTCTGTTGATGGATGCGTCATTGTAGCGGTATAGAAATTACTTGCAAACTACAATATTTTGAAATATAAATCTTTAATAGAAACATCAGTCCAAAAATGGTTAAATTCCGTTCAGTATTTACAATGATGTGTGGAATTTAAATATCATCGATCTATGTTGTTCGCTATTTAATAAGCCCACCGCCATTTTGCTGTCTGCGAATATATTTACTGATATTATAGGCTTGTTTTAAATCCGATTGAATCCAAGCCGAAACATTATCTATATTGGTATTTTGATTTTGTTTTCTTAATTAAATGTTAAATAATTAATCTAAATTTTACTCCGTGAGACATTGGATATTTTAGAGAAAAATGCAAATGACGCATGGTTACTTTAATCGCTGACTTACAAACCGAGTTTATTGTGTATGACAAAATTGGTCAATAAGACTATACAAACTTGTCCTTTGAGGAGATGTATTTGATATGGTACTTCACTTTATAAAAAGCCCGATTACCTCCCACTGCTAAAGACCCCCTATGCTCATGCGAATTATTGAAATAAAATTAAATCATGTGCCCCAAAATTACCTGGGCTCTGTCGAGTGGGCGTTAAACCCCATCTCTCTCTCTCTCTCTCTCTCTCTCTCTCTCTCTCCCCCCCCCCCAAAAAAAAGAAAATAAAAAGCTCCACCAAATTTGCAGTATAACTGCAAGCACTGGGCCAAACTTTCTTTATAAATAAAATTGATTCGGTTTAATTTTTTTCTGTATTATCTATATTTTCAGAACAAATCCTCAGTGTAAGAGAATTTATACTACTACATGTAACCCAACACAAACATTACAGAGGGATTCTGTGAAATTTTGTGCTGATGTCTTCGCTGACCAATCTGTTAAGGAATGTTACTACAATTACAGAAACCAGAATGGTAGTGTTGTTCTGTTTGATTTCAACAACTGCCATGAAGCAATATGTGGGACAGCCGTACCAACCGCTTTTTGTAATGATGTTGTAATGGCGTGTGGTGTTGACAAGATTCCTGCAGATGCAGGATGTCCTCCTCCTGTTAAATAACTCCAAAGGAACATTTCAGAATGAATAAACGTTTAAATAAGTGAAGACGAGTTTTCCTTCTCTTTTATATAATAACCCCACAGTCCACACGCACACAAACATCAAGCTTATACCTTCCGATATATACATACGTCATTCTCTACTTTGTAAAAAATATTAATTAGCCTGTATTACTGTCATTATTTTAAATAAACAAAAAAGTGGTATTTAGGATACCTCTAAAGTACCGTAGTAAAGAAAATAACGACACATACATCAAACTAACCAATTTAAATTGAAATAAACACAACAGTTCTATGGATAACAATTATTATATTTAATTAAAGCTACGTTTCAACAATGATTCTCTTGTCGTTATCAAGCACAATACTGATACAGACAGAAGGAGTGAAATATATATACTATGTACAATCAAAACATTCAATGAAACCATAAATTAGGAGAACAGTGACCTTTGATCTTATAATGAAACCATATGCAAAATATAAACCTCTAATCGTAATGTACACATAGATGGAAACCACTTAATTAATATGGGATTATAACCCTAGATGTGTGATATGGACATTGATTGACTCTTGTGTGATTATAATACCTAGCCGTACAACTGTAAACAAATATTTTTATATGTTAACAAGTTACAGAAACTGCTTAATAAATGTCCTATATAATGTTATGAGTGCACTACCTCAAAAGGTGTTATCATCAATAATAATTGTGTGCTACATATTAATTGTAACACTATGTGTTGCATTGAACTAATTTCCTTAAATAAGTAATACTCCGTGTGAGGTAAATAGTACTATGGATATGGGGGTAACGTCTATATTAATTTCCTGGTTTAGGTCTATTTGTGATTAATTGATCATAGCGATGGCTTGGAACACACCTGTACTATGTCCATTTTTAAGGTTTGAGAAAAAAACGTATTTTAAGATTTCAATAAGCTATAAAAAAGTAAGTTATCAGTGGATGTATATGGTTTCAGGAAAGATTATTGCTTGAATCAATTCAAATAGGCTGATAGAGACGCACTTCAACTTAAGCACAGCATACAGCTGATTTTTGGATAAATGTGATCCACAATGACTTATGTCCGTACTTTTTTGTCAGAATAATTGCACAAAAGACTTATGTCCGGACATGGACTATGTGTGTTCTAAAGAAATATGTGGGTAGTGCACAACAAATGACTTATGTCCGTACTTTTTTGTTCAAATTGATGTACAAATGACTTATGTCCGCACTTTTTTGCCAGAATAAATGCACAAAAGACTTATGTCCGGACATGGACTATGTGTGCTCTAAAGAAATATGTGGGTAGTACATAACACTTATGGTTATTGTGCCTTTTCGACAGCTTTAAATTGTCAGGGGACTTGTATCTTTTTACACAACAAGCGCCCTGGAATAAGGATTTTTAATATCTAAAAATCTTATTTTCACCAAAAATGGACATAGTACAGTTGTGCTCTAAGCCATCGATAGGCTCTGGGGATATATATACCATTATCTCTATTTAGTTCTGGTTGATGTCTTTTTATTTGAACGGCCTCCATTAATCTACGGGTTTTCTTTTGGTTGATATTGGTATTAAGGGGTTTTACAGCTGACCAGTTCACTCTGTGGCGTGGGTTATTTTTGAGGTGCTCTGATACAGCTGAGTCATTGGTGGTGCCTTTGGACTGGTGCTCTTTGAGGCGGATGTCTAATGGCCGTTTAGTTTCACCTATGTATATTTTATTACATGAGCAGGTAATCTGGTACACACATCCCTTTCTTTGGATAGGTATGGTTAATCGGCATTTACCATTAGCGCTAAGGATATCTTTAATTGTTGTACCAGTGTAGAATAGGGTGTTTCACTTTTCACTTTTTTGGGAATTTCTAAGGTTTCTACCCGTCACCGAAGTCCACTCGGGGCCAAACTTACACCGTAATATTTTCAGAATTTTCGTGCCAAAAATGGCTGCCGGCGGCCATTTTTTCCAAAATTGCGACTATTTTCTGGATTTTCGGACATTTTGAGCTTGACAGATCACTTAGAAAGGTCAGGTATGGCTTGTAATGTGTCTATTTTATGCTTGTCAGGTATGTAGAGTCCATTCCCACTATCTTAAATGAGATTATCAGAATCCAAGATGGTGGAAATCCAAGATGGCGCCCCAAATCATCTATTTTCGTGACATGGAAAAGCATTTTTCAAAGACTATGTCATTCTGAATATCATTTTGGCCCTGAAAATAAATTTTGCACTCAAAAAATTCATTACCAGGGCCAAAATGATGTCAGAATAACACTGATCTACCTTTGGTTGAAAATGGCGGAAGGTAATGACTGAAGGTGAAGTTCCGATGGAGTATATTCACCATATTATTAATCTGGTAGAACTATGACTGAACCTGGAAATTGTTTACACAGTTTTTTTGTGATTGATTTTACTAGAATAAGGTGTCCTCTTTCAGAATGTGCCGGGTGAATCTCGGTAACCCCTGAGCGTTTTGAGAAATTCAAGATGGCATCCAAGACAGCCGCATTTCACTAAATACACTAAAATCGTTCATTATGTTGTGGGGTGATTAGATGATAGTAAAATCCAAAATGCCAGATAATATGGCCCTTTAACTCGTTAGCGGCGGTTGGGAGCGATTATTTCAGCAAACCAAACTATATCTAGAGACAAATTATATATTTCTGGATATAGGAGCATATGAGTGATACTATAACACTACATACATGCCTATCAGGAGCACCCTGGCACAAGCTGTATTTTGAATATTTAAAAAACAAAACAAATTCTACCCGCAAAACACTAAAATAAGTAGGTAATGTTCAGTTTAATCCTCTAGTCTTGTTTCTGGCTGCAACCTGTGATAGCACAAGCGCAAAATACTGTATAATCTAAGCCATCCCTAGTGTAGCTACAAGAACGCGTACTACATGTCACTCTTGCATCCACATCTGATGAGTCACGTAACAGACTTCGGAGCACGTTGACCGGTTGTAATGTTCTCAATTTAGTGTCCTTAGCCCAGCAATCTAGTTCCTGCGGATTACGATCTTCCAGTCAACGCCACACAATGGCTTGGTGATGACATCTTTTTACGTTCCCTACACATGCATCATTCTTTGGAGCAAGACTACATGGTTTAGGTGGGGATGATGACGACCCATTTCCCGTTTTGGATGTCTATACCCTCCAACGTGTTTCAGGCAGCGATTTGAAAGAGCTCTGTCGATAACAAGCTTCTTACAATTGAATCACCAATCGAGGAAAGAACAACCCTTGACATTGGTTCAACTTCTGAGAACCATAATCCAGTGCCATTGAAATCCTGCCAGCTCATGCTCTTACTGGATATGACACGGTTACGTGCTGTTACGTCGTGGGGAAAGGAACAGCTTTGAAAGTGGTGAGAGCTTGATTGTATTCTCTCTTTAGACGCTCTAATAGAATCTGTGCTTGCACAGGCCACTGTATATGTCGGCTGGTTATGGACAAAGTTCTAGCAAATTGATGTCTGAAACACGCTGGAGGGTATGGACAATTGGACATCCAAAACTGAAATGTATGGTCAGCATCCCCCCACCCAAACCAGGTAGTCTTGCTCAATGAATGATGGATTTGCAGGGAACTTGATCCGGAACTGTTTTGCTGGGTGAAGGTTACTAAATTGAGAACATTACAACCGGCCAACTTGCTTCAGAATCTGTCGTGTGGCCCTGGAACTCCTGATAGGTATGTATGTGGTGTTATCACATCACTCATATGCTCCTATGTCCGGAAATATAGTTTGTCTCTAGATGTAATTTGGTTTGCTGAAATAATCGCTCCCAACTGCCGCTAACGAGTTAAAGGACCATATTATCTGGCATTTTGGATTTTACTATCATCTAATCACCCCACAACATAATGAACGATTTTAGTGTATTTAGTGAAATGTCGGCTGTCTTGGATGCCATCTTGAATTTCTCAAAACGCTCAAGGGTTACCGAGATTCACCCGGCACATTCTGAAAGAGGACACCTTAGGCTAGTAAAATCAATCATAAAAAAACTGTGTAAACAATTTCCAGGTTCAGTCATAGTTCTACCAGATTAATAATATGGTGAATATACTCCATCGGAACTTCACCTTCAGTCATTACCTTCCGCCATTTTCAACCAAAGGTAGATCAGTGTTATTCTGACATCATTTTGGCCCTGGTAATGAATTTTTTGAGTGCAAAATTTATTTTCAGGGCCAAAATGATATTCAGAATGACATAGTCTTTGAAAAATGCTTTTCCATGTCACGAAAATAGATGAATTGGGTCGCCATCTTGGATTTCCACCATCTTGGATTCTGACAATCTCATTTAAGATAGTGGGAATGGACTCTACATACCTGACAAGCATAAAATAGACACATTACAAGTCATACCTGACCTTTCTAAGTGATCTGTCAAGCTCAAAATGTCCGAAAATCCAGAAAATAGTCGCAATTTTGGAAAAAATGGCCGCCGGCAGCCATTTTTGGCAAGAAAATTCTGAAAATATTACGGTGTAAGTTTGACCCCGAGTGGACTTCGGTGACGGGTAGAAACCTTAGAAAAATTAAAAAAAAAGTGAAAAGTGAAACACCCTAGTGTAGAAGCTGGTGTCTATTCCTGCTGGCCTAAGGAGTATCCGGATTTGGTAGGATAGCTTGTTGTTGAATGGAATGAAGATGCGAATTTGTGAATCTTGGTTGGTCTTAGCTGGTTTAGGTTCATTGCTAGTAGCGGTATTGATAACTTTCTTAACTAATTGTTCCGGATATTGGTTCAGATTACAGAATGTTTGTTTTATATGTTCTAGTTCTTTCTTGAGGAGTTCTTGGTTGCAGATTTTCTTAGCTCTGTGGGCGAGTGTTGAGATGATAGCTGTTTTAACTTTAATAGGATGATTGGATTTATAATTGTGTGCGTGGGCTTCCGATATACACTGGTTTGGATGGTACTTCCATTTCTCTGCACAAGGACATCTAGAAAGGGGATGGTTCCACGGTTTTCTCTCTCCATCGT